AAATACTAATCAAGAGCAGATTCTGCTAGATTATTAATCTTCAAAATAAGTGCAATAATCTGCCAATGCATTTAAACAAGTGCAACCAGTAACACTTCTTCAAATCAGGATATAAGTTATTAAAACACAAAGTCTTACCACTGAATATTATCCATTAACAAAAAATATTTAATACAAAAAGGAAATCCTTGTGCATGTTTTAGCACTGAGGTTCACTCAGTCTTGACACTTTCTGCCATAAAATGTGCATAAAATAGTCTGCAGTTTCAGAAACAATACAATGGGACTATAAAAAAATTAAAAATGCTATCAAAACCTGAGGTGCAAAAGCAAATGGAAAACTAGCAAACTCTAATTCAGTATTTTTTTTTTTTTATATCAAACAATGAAATCTTCTTTTATAAGATTTCTATTGTAATTAGTTACCTCTTAATGCATTTATGGACAGCCTGACAATGTAATACAATCAGGGGATAAATTGACTGTAAACAACCTTAATGAGACAATTAAAAAAGTTCTAGAAAATAATACAAATAAAAACTTTTATTTTGTTAGATGATTCTCCAATATTAAAACTAGCTTCATTTAAATTGTTTTTTTTACTTAAACAGTGTAGAATTTCTCTTTTTCACTATCCAGAGGTGTTATAAATCTTTTATCCCTTATGATTTTTCTTCTCTCAGACAAAGATTTGTGATATTTTCCTCGTCGTTCATCAGATGAACATCCTGTATCATATTCACAGCAAGGAAACACAAAGCATCAAAAAAGGGGCCATTAAATCCCTTCAGATTAATTATGGTTGGATGCAAAATACTTTCTATTTGTATCATAAACAAACAAACATCTCATATGGTTTCCAAACCTCTTCAGATCAGTGTGGATGTTTTTGTTCATAAATTAGCAGAATACCTTTTTACTCACATTCATGTTTGAGGCTACCTTCAGGTAAAATTCATTTTTTTCATTATTTTCAGCTCTTTTTATTTTATTTAATGTAACTGGTGTGACTATTTTGCTAAAGGTGCTGAAGTGCATGACAGCAGATGGACGGACCCTGGTTTTAACCCGTACGTGCGACTCAGGCTGTGCTCGGTGTGAGAACTAAACAGACTGAGGCTTCTTTGTCAGGATGCTGCACTGCTGAGCTTTTCTCAGACTCATCAGACATTCCTGAAGCCTCCATCTGAGCCTAAACATAAACCTGCACTATAACCACACAAGCAGCTGATAGACCAGAACATGGAGTCAATAACCAGATGATTAGTGAGGATGAAACCTCAACCACAACTTCCTGGTTTAAATCGCTTTTCTAACTTAAATTAAGGGAAACTGAGGTGGAAAAATCTAAAAAAAAATGTTGATTTTAAGGGAGATGATGTAAATGAATGTTCAAATCAAATCAAAGCTGTGTTATTACTATGATACAAAAAGGAAAATGGAAAAAAGGATAATTTAAATATAAATAATGACATGCTTTTAACAGCCCCTTTTAATTAAAATTCTGTGCATTCAGAGTGAAGCGATTTTACACTGAGCAGAAGGACCTCTGGGACGCCAAGGTGAGAAACGTCCCCACCAGAGGAAACTGTTTTATTCATCCAGTGTTTAAATCGTGAAAAAGTAATAATACTCTAATATAGGTGGCAGTTTAAAGATTTAGTTACTGAACACAAAAAAACTATGAAAGAAGAAACAGCAAAGTGACTTTCAGTAAATAAAGTAAAATAAACATCTATAAGAGCCAAATACAGAAGATTACATGCTTTCTACTTAAAAAAAAAGGCAATATAAATCCAAAATAAAAAAGGAAAATGAGGACCTTTCATCAAAGCTATGATTTAGCATGAGGTTCACATTAAATCAGCGAGTTATTTTATCTAAAAGGCCTTGCTAGCCTTTTCCCCTGCAGTTTTTCTGCTTCTGGCTGAAGTTCTGCATTAATTTTTTACTCAATGATTGACTAATTAAAGAAATATGTCTAAAATTAACAGTTAGTTCATTAAACGCATCCTCTGTCTCCACTGTCCGACTTCATTTTCCAAGAAAGTTTCATTATTATTGATCAATATAAAGTTAAACCAATGTGTACTTCATACATTATTTATTATCTAAATGGCCAAAAATATTTAATCTAAAATTAGAGCCTAAAGTAACCTTTCCTCTCACCTTATCCCTGGATGATCCCATGGTGCTGAGAAGACCGTCTCCTCGAACCCGTTTGAATCCTGATCAGGATATTAGGAAAGCCCGGCAGACTGTTGGCCTTCACAGCATTATCACTGAGTCGGTTTGCCTCCTCCTGTCTCCTCTGGATCCGCCGGGCTCCCAGGCTCTGACGGGATCCTCAGTCTTCTACCTCTGCTTCCCAACAGGGTGAGAAATACCTGATCCACGAACCGGCTTCAGCAGAGGAAGACTATGGATTAGTGATAACCATTCAGAACCGCATGTTCTACCACAAACCAAAGTTATTGTTTGCAATAAGCTGGACTTCCTTAGATGGATCATTGTTTTGTCAACTGGAAGAAGAAAATTCACTTAATTTGACTGCATTGTCATTAAATTTATAACTCTGAATATATAATTGGATTATATTGGAAAGAAAAGCATTAATTTACAATAAGCCTTAACTGGATGATTAAAAATAAATACTATTAGCAAAATGCCTGGAAATTAAATCTGAAGTCAAATTCAACCAACCTATGAGGGGTTACATTTAACGGAGCTTTTTGCAACCAGACGTCAACATCTGAAGTAGATTTATGCAATTATTACCCTGAATATAAAGAAAATTTTAAACTTGCAGAAGATCTGATGATTATTGACACAACAGGCGGGAGTTTTCTTCCAATTAAAAGAAAAATTAGAGATTTAGTGTCAACTGGCTGGAAATAAATCAAAAGTTGTAAATTTCTTAGAGGCAGCTGAAAGTTAATAACTGATAACATCAGAAATGAACCCAGAATGAAATATGTGAAACATTTTTTAAATTCTTGTATTTTCAAAACATAGACTTATAAAAGTAACAGAAACTCAGTAGCATGTTAAATTTATCCAAGTGAACCAATTTCCTTCATCCTCTGGGTACGATCCGGCTCTCAGGTTCTCGGTCTGGGTCCTGAGGGCCCCCCTGTCCTGCAGGGGGGACAGAAGTGAAGACCACTCATCCACCTCTTGACTGGGGATTAACTTAGTGGGTTAAACTTAAAAGGATGTTTTTGCTTAATTAAGGATCACTGTCAGTAACAAAAATCTCATTATCTGTCAGTTTAACCTGAATTCTTTCATAATCAATCCATCAAAGCTCCATTTCTGTGGAAAAGAGGACAAGTGGAGGATACTGAGGTGATTTTTAGAATCGTCATGTTTTTACCCTAATATGTATTGATGGTATGGTTTTCATCCTGGCCGATCCTTTTTGACTTAGACAACTTTTGTCATTTTGTATAGAGTGTATGCAAAACGAAATTCCATTTAGTAAAGCTTTCCAGACAGTAAATCAACATTTCCATTCCATAAAGCGCAGCAGTGATGAAACAAACAGTGTGAGAGAAATAACATGGTGCACGGAAGTTCAGATCATTAATATATATGATGCAAATATGCAGTATTTTGGTTTGATATTCAGTTATCAGTGTGATACAGAGTTTATAAGATGATTTAGTTTTTTCCAACATCCCAGCTGTTTAATGGCAGTGGGGAAGAAGCTGTTGCAGAATCTGCTGGACCTGCATCGAATGCTTCAAAGCCTCTTCCCAGAGTGCAGCAGAGAAAAACAGTCCATGGTGGGGGTGTGAGGGGTCATTTATGATGTTATGGGCTCCGGATATGTAATGCTGTTATTAAAATGTCTTTAATGGAGGGAAGAGAGGCCCCAATGATCTTCTCTGCAGTTATCACTCTCCTCACCTTCTTCCAGTTTGAGGCGCTGCAGCCTCCACACCACACAGGGAGACAGCTGGTCAGAACGCTCTCTATGGTGCTTCTGTAGGCAGGCTGGCTCTCCTCATCCTCCACAGGAAGTGCATACCAGTACACTTTTGTGACCAGTGAGGTGGTGTTTACAGTCCAGATGTTGTCTTTGATGTGCACCCCCAGGAATTTGGTGCTGCTGACCACCTCTACTGCTGAGCTGCTGATGAGCAGTGGCTGTACAAGTGGTCAGCAGCACCAGATTCCTGGGGGTGCACATCGTGTTTGTGATGCAGTAATAGTTTTTATTATTCAGGAAGTGATTTCTGCTAAATGAATCATTTTACTTCATCCATTGTGTCTTTTCTTTGATGAAAATAATTTATGGCATGTTTATGGTGAAAAGATGTCTAGAAATGTAAACAATTTACATGAAAACATGACTTAAAATCTTAAAAAGAGAGAATAGAAAAGGTGTTTGAACAAATCTTTATTACCTTTAAAAAAGGAAAAAAAAAACAAAGAGTTGACCAATAAACAGGAGCATGTTTTAACTGGATGAGCTTTCTGACTTCCAATGCTACAGATCCGGCTTTTTCACTTATCCCTCTCCTTATCTTCCTTCTTCTTTTTCTTTCTGTTATGTTGGCGGCCGTCAGGGGAGCGGGAATCCCTAGGAAAAGCAATTATTGTATTACCCAAGAGAACTTTTAAAGAAGATGAAGTGTAGTTGTTTTGAAGCAGAGTTGTCATAGCAGAAATAATTGTCAGAGTACTGAGTTGGGGTTTCTTACCTTTCTTTTCTTTTCTTTTTCTTCCGCTCCCTGTTGTCCCTTCGCTCTCGGCTTCGCTCACGGTCTCGCTCACGTCCTGGTTCTCGGTCTCGCTCACGTCCTGGCTCTCGGCTTCGCTCACGGTCTCGCTCACGTCCTGGTTCTCGGTCTCGCTCACGTCCTGGCTCTCGGCTTCGCTCACGGTCTCGTTCATGGCTCCTTTCGCGGCTGCGATGGCGCTTGCTGTGGGAGTGATGGGACTCTGCGGATTTTGATCGTCTTCTCTCCAGCCAGCGCCTTAAAACATAGAATAACATGCTGTCTTTCCTACAGTGGTTCTCCTACTAATCAAACAAACTAACAAACTGTTTTTTTTTTTTTGTTTACCCTTGAGGGGATTGATCAGATCTGGATAACTGCTTCTCATCCTCGTCCTCTTTCCACTGTCTGGCGAGTTCCTCTGAATGAACACTGATCACCTCTCTGATGACCTGCAGGGTGATCACAAAGATATAACTTTGATATTTCCACTTTGTTTTGAACAAATGATGAAGTTACAGAGGATTTTTGCACAGGCTGATCAATAATAAAATAAAATCTAATCTATAATTGAGAAAGTTTTGATTGGAATCCAGTGACTGGTTTAGGAAGAGGATTTCTTAGGTTTTTATACATTTTGGAAGTTGCCTGAAAGGGAAATTAAATAATCAATTAATTACATGTTTCTATCCAAAGGAAAAGAAAAAAAAAATAAATAAATAAAAAATAAGGGGACTTTAGGATGAAATTCATATGCATACGGTTGAAATAAAAAGATATGGGTCAGTGGGAGGTCAGCTGACCTGTGTTCCCCATCAGCATCAGCCAGCTCACACACACAATGAATAATGCAGTCTTTTGATTGTACTGTTAATTTATTACTGATTAAATTCCAAATAACATGAACAGTGGTCCAGTGGGTAGCAGATGCAGCAAGAAGGTTCCATGTGCGGCCCAGGTTTTTCTCTATCGAGTTTGCCTGTTCTCTCTGAGCATGCATGGATTCTCTCTGGGTATTCCGACTTCCTCCCGCAGTCCAGAAACATGACTGTTAGTTAATTTGCTTCTTTAAATACTGGACAGCTGGAGATAGGCACCAGCACCCATTGTGACCCCAGCAGGGATAGGCGTGATGGAAAATGGATGGAACGATGGATGGAACGATGGATGGATAAATTGCAAAGTCAATGACTAAATGGTGCCATATAAATGAACTGACATGTTTATAGTGTCTTGTTTAATTGGTTTAAACAACTAAAAGACCCTATAGTCCAACCAGCGTTTGACTATCAAAGCTGTCATTACAAACATGTCAGGAACAAAAAGGTTAATTGTTTTAAAAAAAAGGAAGCAGGCTGCATTCAAATAACAAATAGATTAGATTAGAGGAGCTTTATTGATCTCACAGCAGAGAAATTCACTCTTCACATATTGGCATAGAAGTTACAGAAGGTGCAAACAGGGAGGAAAAAGGTGCATTAAGAATAAGCAATATATATACAGTATATAGGAAAGAAAAATAAATCAGCCCAGCAGTGTGACTGAAGGGTTTACCTCAGTGTAGGACTTCTTAGTGATGTGAACGTTCTTGGCTCTATAAGACTGACGTCGCCTCTTATAGTCCCTCATCTCCGCCATCAGCTCCAAGTGACTCTTTGGTTCATTCTGTCCTTCATCTGCACAAAAACACACAACCATCAATAAGATCCCTTTAAAAACAAACAAAAAAGGCACAATGAGGTGAATCTTTAAGTATGTATAAACTCAAAAGAGACTACTTTGAAGTGACATAAATGCAGGGACATTTAGTTCAGACTTTTTAAAGCAGAACCGATTTCAGGCTTAAAAAAAAAAAAATCTTTGTTAAAATGTTGGTTTATATTCCTTAGATAAAAACAAAGCCATGAAAATTGTGACCTTCACCTTTTTGAAGTTTTGAAACCAAATCTACGTAGAGATCGTCGTTGGATGCCGCAGCCTCATTCTGCTGTCCGAGTACGCCGACCACGTGATCGTAAAGAGCCAAGCGGTCCGGGACAGTGAGGTCACAGACCGCTCGCTTGTGGTTCTGAGGCACGTCGACAGGCTGGCCAGAGTACTGACCTGATGAAGGACCAGAGAGCTTTTACACACAGGAATACAACCTGTACATCTGCCTGATATCTCACTGGTTACTGCTGGTCACAGATTAATGAGGGATTCCCCAACAAAAACAAACAGGATCAAAGTATAGATAAAAAAAAAAAAAAAAGGACAAAATGTACTGCAAATCCTTTGCAGAGCCGAGCTCCTGTGGCTCCAAACATACAAAAAAAAAGTATTTTGGTTGTTGAATTTAAACTTTAATGTTTCAGCATTTCTGATGAGTCACTTTTTGCATAAACCTGCTTCAGCTGAGTCAGCATTAACACAACAGATAAACAATTAGGAGCTAACGTGGAATAAATGACTGAGAGGTCTGATATTCTAAATTTCCTGGAACCACTGCTATCATCCAGAGTTTGAAAACTTAAAGAAACTTAAGGATCGAATGTCAAAATTTAAACTTTTTTTCAAATTTTTTCAAACTCACGTTTTCAAAGTCCCAAAACCTTTTTAAAAATAAGTCACCATGCAGTAATTTAATA